TGGGTCAGAGCTGCAGGGGTGTGTCCCTCTAAGTGTATTCTTAGTATTACAGCACTGGTTTGTCAATTTGCTGTACTGAGCTCACTTAGGATAGCTCTGATGCTAAACACTGTGACACTGAAGCCTCAGATAGGATGATGGTCATCCATGGTGGGCAGTGTTTGGTGGAGCTCCCAGATGAAAACAGGCTTGAAAGCAGGAGTGGCATCCACCCCCTAAACAGCTGGCCTCTGGAAACGTTATGAATTCAGGGAAATGATGATAGTTATACAGCAGGGTTCAGGTCTTTTTTTTCTTCATTGGGTCACTATATATAAGTCATCTACAACTTGACAACACTGTTGTTGTTATGTGCCATCGAGTCGTTTGCGACTCATAGCGATGCTATGGACAACAGCCTTAAAACCTGCTCTATCCTGTGTTAATCTCACTGCCTCTGACACACCCATCCCGATTAACCCAGTCACTGAACCAATCTACCTCATAGAGGGTCTTCCCCTTTTGGGCCGTCCCTCCACACTCCCAAGCATGATGTCCCTCTCCAAGGACGTCTCCCTTCTTAGAACTTGTCCAAAGTATGTCAGACAAAGCCTCAGAACCCTTGCCTCCCAGGAGCAGCCTGGTTCAACCCTCTCCAGGCTGAATCTGTTTGTTTTCTTGACAGTCCAGGGTACATTCAATACTCTTCTCCAGCACCACAGCTCAAAGGCATCCATTCTCCTTCTATCCTCCCTAGTCATTGTCCAACTCTCTGATGCATAACAAGTGATTGCAAAGACCATAGCCTGTAGCAGATGCTCCTTAGTCTCCAGAGTGATACCATTGCTCTTCAGTACCTTGGAGAGGTCCCTAACAGCAGACTTTCCCATCACAATACGTGTTTTGATTTCCTGGCTACTGGTGCCAAGAGTGTTGAGACTGTGGAGCCAAGAAGACTAAGGTTGTTAATAATCTCAATCTTTTCACTATCCATCTTGATGCTACCAATTGGTCCAGTGGTGAGAATCTTTGTCTTCTTTACATTGAGCTTCAATCCATACTGAAGGCTGCAGTCCTTGACACTCCGCAGCAAGTGCATGAAGTCCTCCTCAGTTTCAGCAAGCAGAGTTGTGTCATCTGCATAACGCAGTTTGTTAATAGATCTTCCAACATTCCTGCACCGGTTTGAGTGGTTTTTTAACTAACACACAACCCCCACCTGTGGTAAATCCCACCCTGATTGGTCAACTGCCATAAAGTGGAATTCTTCTTCTCTGTAAGAGCACAAGTTTTCCACATTCCGGTATCTGAAGTAACCGATAAGATTCAAATAGATTTCCAAACTGTTTCCCTGTGCTGTGGCTAGCCAATTGAAGGTGGACAAATACCCAAACTAATGTGGATGGCCAATCGTGGCGTGTATGGTTGGTCAGGGGAGTAGCAGAGGTATAAAAGGAGGGGCAGACATCAATTTGGGGCTCTCAGCTGGATGCTGCTGTGTCAGCACGCGGGAGCCTGGGTTCGAACTCCAAACAAACTTTGTTAATTCGGCTAATTGGCTCGGTGATCTTTTTGGGGATTCGCTCCGTTACATTGACCTTAAAAAGACTATATTTTTTAAGGAGATACTCAGAACTGGGTGTGTTGCACTCCCCTGCCTCATTCTCCCTGAAACTAATACAACCGTCTTTTCAGCACAGGTTCTGAACAGAATCCTCAGTATGAGCAGCTCCTCTCCACCCAGCCTCTTTGATCTGGCAAAGCAGAGTTTAATGAAAGATGAGGTGTGGGTCATCCATGCTCTGCAGTCTGTGCCTCTGAGCCTCATCTGTCCATTGATAAGAGAGGTCATCTCCAGCAGGAACAGCGTGGGTTTCAACTCCATGATGTGGGCCTGGCCCATCCTGCGCCCGCCTCTGAGGACTTGGTTGGAGGATCAGCAGGATCACCACACTGTCTTAGATGATATCGTGGAAGTCTTTGATCTCTGTCCTTATTGACATGAAAGTTCCACCGAGAGGATGCAGCCTGAAAGTGTTCTACCTATAATCAGACTTCCTTAAAGCTTTCAGGAACTTGGAGACTTCAAATGAGCCCTGGAACTCTCAGAGCTTCTTAGACAACCCTACTCAGGAGAGAAGCAGACGTCTCCTCGTGTCCTGAAACTTATCACAGATCTGTGTTTCAATGACTCTCTTGGATATCAATTGCTGGACTTTCTCATCAAGAGAATCGAGAAGGGGAAAGTTCTGCCCCAACTTTGCTGTAGGAAGCTGGCATTCATGAGGAACTCAACAACTTACTCAGTCATGGAGAATGTCCTGCAAAACATTCGACTTGATTGTGTCCAGGAGCTGGGAACCAAGACTTAAAGCTTCAGGATCTAGTCAGCTTTGCTCCTATCCTGAGGCAGATGGTTCATCTGAACCCACTTCAATGCTGTCGGTTTGTCTGTGATCCCTGTGTTGCTCAGGCCAAACAGGAGATGGACAATGTCTATAATTCACTTGACAGGGTGGTATTAATATATTCAGAATTCTCTCTGTAGTTATCAATTATAAAACTATAGTTAGTTTTCTCTAGCCTATAGGACTGGTTGCTTGACCTTGGAGTTCTTAGTGTCCTTTCTTTGATCTGTCTGTTTATCAGAAGAGGAGATGCGTCTCCTAGATTTGCTGTTATCTCTTTGAGGCTGTTTCCCCCAATCATATGTAAATTATAATTTAATCTGCTTGTTTGCCTGGAAAGAGAGTAACTGGATGTGAATTTTTCTTTCATATGTAGAAATTATTTGATTTTATAAAAAAAGTTTGTTAAGTAAATTAAATTAGTGTCTCACCCTCCTATAAAAGCCCATGACCACTCCCAGAGTTTTGCTACAAGGAGTCTTAAATATCTGGACTTCTGTGGGTATAGAATATCTGATTCTCAGTTCATTGCTATGCTGTCTGTCTTGAGACTCTACTCTCAGCTCCTGTACTTCCACTTCTGTGGGAATCAAGTGTCCAGTGTTGCCCTGGAGAACCTACTGAGACAGACACTCTCACCCAACCAGACCAGAGACCTGTCGTGTCCTGTCCCTCCATACTGTTACAGGGGTCCAGGATGGTGTCCACCTGAGGAGCCTTGAGTCGTTTTGGCTCAGCTGATGACATCTGATTATATGGTCCTCACAGGGGTGACACCTTCTCAAGCCTCAACATAGAATATGACGTATTTTTATTATTTGTGGATTGGTAAATTTGTCAAGACAAACGACTTGTGCATTAAAAGTGAGGCAGGGTAGGGGGAGGAATGGAAATAGGTTCAAATCTTGAACTGAACACAACTTAATAATTTAACTTCCAGACAGGCAATAAAGAGGTGTTTAAGGTAAACAATTAGCATTACAATCTCCTACACTTGTGGTTAGATGTAAAGAAGTTTGTTGTTGCTATGTGCCATCGAGTCCTTTGCGACTCATAGTGACCCTATTCACAACAGCCCTAAACCCTGCTCTATAATGCTTCAACCACACTGCCTCTGACACACCCATCCCAATTACCCCAGTCACCTAATCAATCCATCTCATAGAGGGCCTTCGCCTCCTGTGCCATCCCTCCAACCTCCCAAGCATGATGTCCCTCCCCAAGGACCCGCCCCTCCTGGAACATGTCCAAAGTATGTCAGACGAAGCCCCAGAATCCTTGCCTCCAAGGAGTAGCTTGGTTTAATCCTCTCCAACATGAATCTGTTTGTTTTCCTGGCAGTCCATGGTACGTACATTCAGTACTCTTCTCCAGCACCACAGCTCAAAAGCATCCACTCTCCTTCTGTCCTCCCTAGTCATTGTCCAACTCTCTGATGCATAACAAGCGATTGCAAATACCATGACCTGTATCACGTGCACCTTAGTCTCCAGAGAGACACCGTCCCTCCTGAGTACTTTAGAGAGGTCCCTAACAGCACACTTTCCCATCGCAATATGCTTTTTGATTTCCTGACTGCTAGTGCTAAGAGAGTTGA